CTTGTTGTTAGGAGCACGTGCTCTCACCAGCTGAGCCATCCTGCCACCTGTTGGCAGCTCAGCAGCAGCTCAGCTCGGGCGCAGCTCACTGGCCCATGTGGGAATTGAACTGGCGACCCTGTTGCTCAGAGCTCGCTCTCTTAACCAACTGAGCCACTCGGCGGGCCCGTTTATAACATTCTTTATCATCCTATTAAGTGCAATACATCAATGATAACATATCACATACCACTCCCTACGTATTAAGGCATCACCGGTGTTGCGCCCGGTGTCTTTCTCTACAGGTTCCGTCTTTCTCTACAGGTTCCATCTTTCTCTACAGTTTCCGTCTTTGTCAGGTTGTTCCATGGCTGTTGTGTCCTGTGTTTCCTACACTTCCTTCTTACCTAACATCATTCACATTCTCTGCGGAGAGCTTACAACAGTTACATCTGTCAACATCACATGCTTCACTTTTGGCTGAGCTATTGTTGGGTTTTTCTGTGTGTGTAATTAACTTAGAAAACATAGTCTGTGATAAAAATGCAGTAATATTTTGTTTTGGAATTTGATTATGTGATAAAATAGCCGGGAAAAGTTAAAACTTACCTCTGCCACTTCCTTTTGAAAAGTCAGCGTCATCTGGGTTCTGCCATAAGCAAACGGTCCATCTCGCTGAGAAACGTTTTCAAGCCACCTGATAATCAGTGGAGTCGATACACTAAAAGGCAGATTTCCGATAATATGTACATTTGGAGGATCTGGTTGGCAGGAGAAAAAACAAAGTGGAATGGTTTCATCAACATATTCTGAATACAATTTTAGTTAAGAGTAAAATCAAACTAAGTATTAACAGCATCAAGTAAAAAATATATGAAAAGATATGGCTGAGTATTTTTCAGTCCATTTATTCTTCAAAAGCAATATATTTTTTTTCACAATCAGCTTTGAATCACTACAGAAAAATTCTACCTAATTAGTGTTCAGTCAGTGAAGTCCTCAGGTTTTTGGCTTAGGAAGAATATTAATAAGCTGGTTGGAGGGAAAAGATAATTTGCTTGGGCCGTGACGAGGTCAAAGTGCCTGCGGGGCACCCAGGTGAGGCTGTCAGAGGGTCAGATGCCAGGAAGGGGATACAGGCTGGTATAAAGTTGTAAGTGTCTGCAGTGTGTAGGTGGGAAGTGAAACCACAGGACAGAAGTAACCCAGGCAAGTCTGCAGCATGATGAGAGGATGTGAAAAAAAAAAAAAATCTCAGCAACAACATGTAAGAGGAGGGTGACACCCCCCCCCCCCAGCACACACTAGTGAGGGAGAGCTCACAGCGGGTGAAAGGAAAACCAGGAGGCCTGGGGTCAGGGAAGGCGGGCGTGGGGAGTGTTCCAGGAGAGGCGGTAACAGTCGATGGAGCCTGAGAGCTGTCAGACGAGGTCTGAGCCAGCTAGGGGGTCACTGACCGAGCTTGGCGGGGCAGGGTGGGCGCTGGGAATGGCATGATGGAAGCTGGAGCGGGCAGTGCCAACCCCTCTGAAGGAGCCTGGCCTGGAGAGGCCAGAGACACGGTGGCAGCTAGGTGACAGCTAGATGGGGGTGTACCAAAATCGCTCCTCCATTTGTTCTGAGGGGTGTTATAGGCAAAAACCATAGGTTGTTTATCTGTGCAGTCCAAAGAGCTGGAACATAGAGATACCCAATAAACACTGCCCATGAATGAAAATGACGGGTGCCTTGTTGGTCACTGAGCGAGAAAGACAGTGGACGTGACGTTTAAAGAAAGGTTTGGGTGTGGCTTCATTTACTAAAACATTTCATAGTTCACCCCATCCCTATATGGTATCATAAAAACGACAAGCTTATGTGAGTGGAACTCAAAACATTTGAAAAATGAGACAAATAAATCAGAATTAAGAAAAAACAGTTAATTTTATATTTTGGAAGCAAGTGGAAAAGCAGAAAAAAGTTACAGTGCATATTAACTATTTAATTCTGTTCAGATTTTAATATAAATATAGAACATTTGTAATATATATTTTTAATATAAATAATTACAAAAGAAAATAAGAAAACCAACCCAAGGTCACTTACCATCCTCCCACTGTCTCTTAAGACTTTCTGGAAAAGCCTTTTCTATCTTAAATGTCAACACATCTCCATGGACAATTCTCAGTTTTCCAGGTGCTGCATCAGAAAGCATCTAGTTTATGAAAAGGTCAATAAAATGAGCAGCTACACTTTGGTGAATATTGAGTTTTACTTCAAATCTGTACATCATTAAAGCAATCTGAAAAGCCAGAGACTAAAATTGACCACTAATGAACTAATAGTACACGGTATCCACTGCAACAGACAACTGTGGCGTTTCACTTTTAACACATATTAACGGGGACAGTAACAGGTAATAGTATAGCAGCAGCTTATAATTTCACAAATACTGAGGATGCCTAGAAAATGTATACACATTTTAAGAAAGGAAAAAAAAACTATTAAAATTACGCTGATGGTAACCACTTTGAGCACCTCTTGTAATTGCAGAAGTCAAATGTGACTTGTATTCATCTTTTGTTATCAGTATATATTGAGTATTACAATTTTAATACATTTTCCTTTCTTAAAATGTGTATATATTTTTTTGGCATCCTCTGTAATATGTTAACGTAATTTTGACCCTCAGAATAACTTGCGTTTCTGCATAGATTTAGCAAAAACTCAACTCTTATCTCTAAGTTTATAAATTAAAGACATTATAATGAAATACTGAGAATCAATTATGACTAAATCACATAAAAATGAGATTATTCAACTCAATTTTTATAGCCTAAATATACACAAATGACTGTACATATTACCTAGGCCTTCAACTTAATTTACGGGTCGATTCAAACCAAGCAGAAAGTCGTTTGTCAATGCCCGGCTGCAGGAGCACTCGGAAACACTCCTCTGGCCAGAGCATCCCTAATCCTAATATTTCTTCATCCACAGGCACTTTCAACCTAATGAATTAGCCTGCATATTTTAACGGTAGCTACATCCCAACCTATTTCTACCTTCCAACCATTTGCTTTGCTTCCACTTCCTCAGTCTTTCTGAGTAAAAAAAAAAAAAGAAAAAAGGGAAGGGGTGAAGTACCCTTTGCCTTGTCTTTTTCTCCTTCATTTCATCCATTTTAGCACCACACCTAAAGATATGCTGTCATAATATGAGTGTTGGCTCCTAGCTACGAAGAGCCTTATAGCTCAGCCATCTATAAATTTGCATTGTGTTACGTGCCCCTGTAGCCAACACAAAACTTGATTCTTCAAGTCCTTGGTACATAAAACCAATACAGCCCCTGAGTTTATAAAGTCTAACATGCAGGAGTGAATATAACCAACGAAAACAGATAGCACTGAAGTAAATTACAAAGGACGAGATGACCCCCTTCCTACACTCTCAGCTCAGGGAGCTCGGAGAGCCTGGGCTCCAGGGCAGGGCGCTTGGGTCCTGAGCGCGCCTTGGAAGGCCTGCGTCTCTAGCTCTTTTAAAGCCGATTTTCTCTACCCCTCCCCTTGCCTAACTTGGGAAACTGACAGAAAGGATGAAAGCAGCAGCACAGGAACCAGAGAGGCGGCGTGGCCAGGCACCCAGTTTGTAGGCCACTACTTCCACCTTTGGGTCAACACGTGCCTTGCACTGCTTCTTTAGGGCACTTATAACACACTGTCTGGCAATCAGGTACCTACAGGTTTCTTCCCCCTTAACGACATATGCTCCTTCAGGGCAGCACCGTTTTTTATCTGCCTTAATGTCCCCGCAGCTACAACAGTACACAGTGAGTGCTTCCTACACATTTGCTAAGTCAATGAGTAAGTGAATGGTCTCACCCCATTCAGCTTTCTGTGAGATTTGGGGCTCCCCAAACTTGTAAGTTCAAGAAACTTGCAAAGATTTATTTCACTGACAACTCAGGTGGCATTCACAAGTAATGTTTCAGAAATACATAGGTGAATTGTCTATATTGGTAAGAGGCTAAATATTTTTAGTTTGGGAATCATCTAGTTTGGTATGTTTAGCTATGATAATTTAGCAAAAATAATTGCATACCTCTGATACTAAAGTACTTATGGATTATTTTTAATTACCATGATTCACTAAAACTTAATCTGATGAGTTCTAAATAATAAATCTTAGAAAACAATAACTTCAATATACCATAAATAAAAAAGGAGATGGTTCTCTATGGAACAGGCTCTTTGTGTACAAAACCCATGTATTTAATGATAGCATTTACCATCAATGAAGAACATTAGAATTTTTCTGTAATCATGCTTCACATAATTAAAACAAAACAAATTAGCATACCAAAAACAAAGAGGCAGAACTAAAAGCTTATGTTTCATGATGTTATTATATAGAAAGTAATTAATTAGTAATTAAGCCTAGAACAAAACAAAACAATGTAAACTTGGCTCTTTGGCATTAATTTATATGCTCTGATAACTCAACCACATTTGAAATGTTAATTTTTTCCACACTGACACGTACTGCTGCATACCAGAAAACTGATATAACACACATTTACTTTCCTTTTCTGGGTTTAAAGTTACATTTCTATATTTATTTTGGATCGCCCTTCAAGCTTCCGTCTCAGTCAATGGCAAACGAAACCCTCCCACTGTTTAAAGGTCTACGTCTTCCACGACCACTTTGCAGCTTCATCTTCCTCCCTCAGACTCCCCGCTGTAGGAGTCCTGGTGTTCACAGCTCAGCTTCACGTGAAGGGTTTGAAGCAATTAGGGTGGTGGGGTGTGTGCGTGCGGGGGGAAGTGCTAGCCAAACTGAAATGACAGTATGATTACAGACAATAGCCATTTAAACACCTAATGATACTCAGCAATAACAGAGAAAGACTTTCTAACCAACCACTAATAGAGAAAAATGTTTTCATTATCATAATGATATTTGGGATGCTGGAGGAGTGGAAAAGATCACTATTATAGCCCTTTAAGAATAACACTGGTGCTTTACACTTCAAAACCCTAGAGGTATTACTATAATGTGCTCAGAGGCACCGCCGACCATGAATGCAGCACTCGATTATGGCCAAATGAGTCTTTTTACAGGCACTCTTAAATTGTTCTATCATTTTTATTTTACTTTTCAATCCTATATTCCTCCAAAATGAGACATAAGTAAGCCAGAGTGAAAGTTATTCATTATATAAGGCTATAAAACAAGAAATAGAAAACCAAACCATGAAAAGGGGAAGTATATACATAAATTGAGAAGGCTAACAATCCCAGCCATGAGAGGACTGTTAGCTCTTACAATTGACATACTGAATTATATAATTCTTGCTCTCTATTGGAAGTAATTATACCAAGTCTCCAAGAGAGAAAACGTTTTTTTTTCTGGTATTAGGTTTGTAAAGGGAACACAGCACAACATCATGGAGAATGCCTTTAATGAAAGGAGAAATCAAAGGCAGATGCATTCTTCATGTGGTCCCTAAACACCTCTCTTCTCTAACAAGGTCATAAAGAACGCTTTTCTGCAGGTCCACCTAGGCAGTTTGTTGGTGATCTAATTTGACGAGGAAAAAATGTATGCACAATTCTTGGAACTTATGCACGATTATAAATTCCTTGAGAACAAAAACTATATCAAATAGCCATCTTGTATGCTTCATGTCACCGTCTCATGGCGAGGGGCTCAAGGCAGCCAACCTGGTACAGTGGGCGGAGCACTGGCCACATAGCTCAGTGATGGTACCTTCTTCCTGACTTGTCACAGAGTAGAGACTCAAAACACTGTTGAAATAAGGGCTCGGCAAAACTGTTACGCAAACTACAGGAGAATTAAAAAACAAAACTACACCATGGAGTATGATAGGTGAAAAATACAAATGATCACGAAAGTCTTCCCGGTAGAAAGAAAATGGTACTAGATGAAAATATGGATGCGGTGCACTCAAAATAGGATCCATGTATGCAAAGACATAAGAATTTTTGCTTATTATGTAAATCTCTTTAGTACAGAATTGACTTTTACAACAGAAATTACTTGTATTGTGAACTTTATAATGTATGACAATAACAGCACAGAGGCCTGGCGGGAAGAGATGCAAGCACACTACTGTGAGATCTGTATCCTATCCCTGAAATGGTATAATTACTTGAAGACAGATTGGGATATGTGAAGACGCATATTGCACACTTTCACTAAACCACCAAAACAACAGAACAAAGAGTTATAGATCATAAGCTGCAGGCGGCTGAGTACTGGCCCCACAGAGTTGGCTGTGTCCGAATCCCGGGAACCTGTGCCTGCGTTACTGGCATGGAAAAAGGGACTTTGCTGATGTGATTAAAGAGCATGAGACAGGAAGATTATCCAGGTGGTCCCAGTGTAATCTCAAGGGTCCTTAGGAAGACGCAGGAGGGTTAGAGTCGATAGTAGATGCAGAAGCAAGAGGTCCCCAAGCAAATGAATGCAGGTGACCTCTGGAAGCTGAAAAAGCAAGAAAACAAATTTTCTCCCGAAGCCTCCAGAAGAAAGGCAGCCCTGCTGCCCTGATTTTAGACTTATGATCCCCAGAACTGGAAGAGAATAAATTTGTGTCATTTTAAGCTACTGAATTTGTGGTCATCTGTTACAGCAGTAATAGAAAACTAATAATAAGGTAGACATGGTCACACTGGCGAGAAAAGAGCAAGACCCAGCTATACACTGCCTCCGAGAAACCCACATTAAATGTAAAATCACACAGCTATTCCTATTTGGAAAAAAATACACCGTTCTGACACTAATTAAAAGAAAGCTGGAATGGTTGGGCTATATGAATATCAGATCAGGTAGATTTCAGGGGAAAGGATATCAGCAGGGATCACGAAGACCACTTCATAATGAGAAAGGAGCTGACTCATCACACAGTCGTGACAATCCTAAATGTGGATGCACCGGATAACAGTGCTGCCAGGTGGATGCAACAAAAACTGGTAGAACTGCAAGGAGAGACAGACAGACCTGCAGTTTGAGATTTCAATACCTTTCTCTCGATAAATAATAGAACAAGTAGAAGAAAAATCACTAAGGAGACAGAATGCTTTCATAACACCAACTCGACCTAATTGAAATTTATTCTCCATCGAACAGTAGCAGAATGCATATTTTTTAGGCAGAACGCATATCCTTTTCAAGTGCATGGGGAAATATACC